AGTCATAAGTTCTTTCAGAGCTGTTCCCTCAAGGGCAGTTCTTGAGAGAGCTCTCTCAGCCCCACCTACCTCACAGGATGTCTGTTGTGGGGAGGGGAAAGGAAAGGGACTGTAAACCACTCTTACATCTGGTAGTGAAGGGCAGGGTATAAATCCAATCTCCTCCCTCCTCCTCCTCGGAACCTTAGCACCCTTTCATATGGAAAACATCCTATCCTAATTCACTCACTCTATTGCTGTCGTAGGTCCTATTATTTCTTTTCGACAAATGGAGAATCAGGGCTGAGAGAGAGGATTGGCCAAAGCCATTTAGCTGGAAGAAGACTAGAACTGTATGATGTAGGCTCATCACAGTGACAACAAAAAATGCCTTTAGTCGTTTAAAATGTTCGAAGTGCTTCATGGACATTCTTATATGCCTGTGACCTTTGCATAGGGATTCTGAAATATGAAGTCAATGCATCCAGGCAGGAATTGAGCTGGAATCCCAGTCCCTCACTCTGTTCAATGGTCAGAGAGAAGCTTTTATTTCCCAGGAGACAACATGTGCAAATTATTGGTTGCTATTGTAGACAGCCAAAGTGTGCGTGTTTGCACAAGACTCGTACGTATGCAAACAAAACATTTTGAAGAGCTGATTAGTTGTGGTGTCAGCAGCCTTCTCATTCTATTTCCCTTGTTTAAAGTTGCCCAAGTAACTATTGTGGTACGTGGAGCAGGATTAAAGGATTAATTTCATCATACTAATCTAAACATCATCAAGTGACAGAAGTGCAATGACTGTGGGCCTTGGTGAGTCAGCAGACATCGGATGCTTAAAGAGAGGCAGCTCTGAGTGTCTTTCAGAGATGAACCACTTTCGATTCATGCTGTGCTGCAATGAACACACAAAAACTTCAATGAACAGTGAATTGCACACACTCCTCTTTGTAGCATGGGTCACCATAATGGACACAGTTCTCCAAGGGAGAAGGACCACCTTCTGATGCTTGGAGCCCGATCTAGATCAGGACCATCACATGAGGAGAGGGGGAAGTTTAAGTCTTTCTCCCTGCACTGTTTCCAGCAGGAAATGTTTGTGGGAGCTGTGATTTGCCCCATGGGAGAACCTTGTATGCACTGACCTGGGTACCTTTAAGCTTCTCCAGCAGGGCAAATGGTGGCTGGCTACGAGGGCCATTTCAGATCAGCTAAACAGTGCAAGGAGGAAGACTTATCTCTCTTCCTCTCATGCCATGGTCCCAATCTGGGTCAGGCCTCTGCACACCTTGAAATTATGTTTGTTTTTTAAATTGGGAGCTACTGGCTCTCAATCACTCACTTTATTACAACAGTCAGCGACCAGCAGTAAAGTTTGATTAGGATATGCAAAAGCCAGCAACCAGCAATACAGTTGGGTTGAATTTTTTTTTAAAGATAAAAAGAGATAAAATTAAGTCTTAAAAACATACAAAATCATGCCAAATAACTACTAAGTCATGCTGCCAAAAGGAGTTTTTGATGCTTGTAAACCTTAGCACAGAATTTAGCCACCTGTCGAGTAGTCTGGTGGTTTCTATCTGACAGGAGATAATCAAGCTTGATTTTATTTGATCTTCCAGGAAATCTTTCCAGCAGTGGGCTAATACTTTCCGATCGGATCTTTGTATAGTTAGAACTGCAGTTTAACTGCAGAGTAATGTAGAACTCTAGTGGAGTGAAAAGTTCATAAGAGCCATGTAGACATGACCTGTTTGGAACTGTGTTCTGCAGTGTCTCTCTCGCACTGAGAATGTCATTTCAGGAAACTATTCTCTTCTGAACTATGGACCTAGAATTGCAGGTTCCCTGTTTGGAATCTCTGCTTTTCTACCTGAAATACACAACGCTACCTATTTCTTTGGTGGTTAAACCCTAAGAGGCTTGGTTTGAGAGCCTCTAACCACAGATGTGGGTTGTTTGCAGACACACCCCTTGATTCCAGCAGCGGTGCCTGCCAAAACATCTTCATGTTACAACATTAGAGGTGTACTCCAGGAACGTTCCTCAACAATCGAGCTCCACACACTAAAAAAATCTCCAATGCAATGTTTGTATGATCACACTGTGCAGGTGTTGGTCTTTACTGTTCTTACTAGACACTCCCTGAAACTTAAATATGTTTTGTTCTTGTTGGTGTCAGGGCAGATCAGTGAAGACAATGACCAAAGTAGCTGTTTAAGTTTAGGATGGAAATATATATGGAACGCTGTGAATGTTTTTTTAGCTTTGGTTTTTAATATAATGCTACCGATGAAACTGCAAGGCTCTTTAACCCTTTCCTGTTGCATTATAGTTCTGCTGAAAATCACTCCTCCAGTTACTTTTACTACTACACCGAGGCTACATTTTGAAGTGAAATATCAGTGCAGGAGGAGCATGACTTCATAACCGTTCCTCACACTGTATTTCCATTGATCATCAAGCAGCTTTCCCCCCCCCTTTCAGCAGGGAAAAGATATGGATATTCTCCCCCAGGCTTTACAATTCCAACATATCTGTTCAGCTTAACAGCCCCAAAGTATAGACGAGCAATTATGCTCACAAGATTAAATGCACTGCAGTTTCTGAAGGCTGCATGTTGGGCACACCTTTCTCAAATAGATATTGTATGCTTGTATGCTATCGAATCTGTAAGTCATGTTTTATCTGAACGTCCCTCGTATAACAAGGTGAGACAGAAATTGATTAAACCTTTGACATTACAGTGGACAGAATCTTCAGATGGTTTTCTAGTTCCTAAACTATTCGCAAACTCGAGAGTAGAAAATGTACTCATTTTAGCTAAATTTTTAGTTCAGGCCAGAGGTCATTTCGGAGGGGATCGCAGGGGATCGCAGGGCACATGATGAAGCCCCGCCCCCTGCTTCCAGCCGCCCCGCTTCTGGCCCTCATTCAGCCAGGAGGAGGGAGGAGAAGAGGGAGGGTAAGTTGCTTCCTCCCTGCCTCTCCCCACCCCTGCCTGCCTGGGGCCAGGGAGGGCCTTCGTGGGGCTTCCTTGCACTCCCGCCGGCCTTGCAGGTCCACCGCCGGGCCCCTCATGGGGCTCGGCAGTGGAGCTGCAAGGCCGGCAGCGGCCGGGACTGTTGGGGGCGGGGTGGGTGGCCTTATGACACACTTCCGGTGATGTCAGGGGGTGTGGCATATGCTAATGAGTTATGCTAATGAGTTCTGCTAGCTCTTTTTCTACGAAACGACCCCTGGTTCAGGCTATTAGACTGACCCATAGCCTCTTTCAGGCTATTAGACTGACCCATAGCCTCTTTCAGGCTATTAGACTGACCCATAGCCTCTTTCAGGCTATTAGACTGACCCATAGCCTCTTTCAGGCTATTAGACTGACCCATAGCCTCTTTCAGGCTATTAGACTGACCCATAGCCTCTTTCAGGCTATTAGACTGACCCATAGCCTCTTTTATCTCTCTCCTCATTTCCTCCTTAATCCATGTCAGAAAACTAGGCCTGTGAGTTTTTCCCTGACAGGTCAAAGGTCTGAGCTGCAACCTTTCCTTTCCCCTGTTGAAATCCTGTGATGGAGGTGGAGACTAGTGAAGAAGGCAGGTCTAGCTCTGAGACCTTGCTTTTGGGAGGCTGAGAAGCATATATATATACACACACACATACATTACATTACATTACATTACATTACATTACATTACATTTATATACCGCTCTAACCTTTTTTGGGGCAGGTCTCTGAGCGGTTTACATATATCTTCCAAATTCCCTAACTAGGGCCACATTGTCGATGGGTGGTGTCTGCCTACCAGCACCCAGGGCTTGTTGTTCTTCTGGCTTCCTCTAGCGGCTTCAGGTATCGGCGTCCTTCTGGTGCCCTTTTTTCTGGAGACGGTCTTTTCTGGGTAGCTTCCTCCGGCAGGCCTCGTTCTGGCGCATAGCTCTGTGTTGGCTGCAGCTCCGGCTACTGTCCTTGGAGGCTCCCTCTCTGGCCTGAATTCTTCCTTTCTTCCTCATATTCCCAGTCATGTCTGATAAAACCTACTTAAGACCTATAGGTCAGAAGAGTGGTGAAAGAAGGGAAGAAAGAAAGTTTCTGTAGGATTATTCAAATCTTTTATTTTGCAGGAGTGAAAGCAGAGTGTTAGGCAGTTTCCAGGGGTGAAACAGTGCAAGAGGGAAGAAGGAGCAAGAAACCCCCCTCTCCCCTACATTGGTCTACCACTTCATAATGTAGCCTTAGTGTGGGGGGGCATGGGGGCATTCTGTTTAAAAAAGAAAAATGCCAGGAGAAAGGCATTTTTTTAAAAAAAATCCCTTTTGTTTATTTGAGCATTGCCTGCTCTTGCACAAATAAAGGATGGAGAGTCATGGTACATCTTAGGCCTCCTAGGCTCAAACACATGATGTTCTGGCTCAGAGTATCCCCCTTTTATTTTGTGTGCTTTGGCAGCACCCTTCCCTGATGCTGCCTCCTAACTCTGGTATTCAGAGACTTACTGCATCTGAGTATGGCGTTTAGTCACCATGCTTTGCTACAAGGGATGGACCTATTCCCCACGAATCTGACAAATCCCTCTTTAAAAAGCCACACTTTCTTTTGTCTGGCCTGAATCTGCTGCCTATCAGTTTAGGACATAGACGTGTATAATTGTTTAAACACAATGAAGTTTTTACTGTATGTTTATTATTGCTTATTAAAGGTTTCTGTTCACTACTTGTGTTAATTTTTCTACTCGTTCCTTTCTTATTTAAGTATTTGTGGTACTTAAAGGGAAGCATGACTCGTGAGTATTCTCATTGACATTAAAAGAGATGGCTGGGGAGGGGGAGAGCAAGATCACAATGCACTTATAGATCAACATATCTGCTTAATAACATGGTTGGACCTGTTTTTTGTTTTTCTAGGGCCTAAAATATTGGGACTGGCTCTGAATACAGCTTTGGATGGTATAAACATAATAAAATAATATTCTATTCTTCATATTTTAAGAGGAACATAAAAAGAAATCAGTGTGGCTAGAATGACTGGCAATGTTGGTAAGCGGATTGCCTGGAATGAACGTGAGTATTTTATAGTGATGGTGATTTATTAAATAATACGCAACTGAACAATCTTACGTTTTGATGCTGTTTATTTTCCTTCTGGAGTGAGCCAGTTTGGTATAATGGTTAGTGTGTTGATCTAGGACCCAGGTTCGAATCCCTGTGCTGTCATCAAAGCTTGCCAGGTGACCTTAAGTCAGTCACTCTCTCTCAGCCTAAGCTACCTCATAAAGGTACATAAATGTAAATGTAAATAAATACAGGCATAACTTCTCCCAAGTACACAAATAGCTATCCTCACTATTTGGGAAGCCCCCCCCCCCAGCATGTAATATTTGGGCCAAACTACTTGTGCTGCAAGAGATCAGGTAGGGCTGCCAACCTCCAGGTGGTGGCTGGAGATCTCCTGGGATTACAACTGATTTCCAGGCAACAGATATCAAGTTCACCTGGAGAAACTGGCTGCTTTGGAAGGTGGACTCTGTGGCATTACACCCATTGAAGTCCCAGCATGGTGTAGCAGACTCTAATCTGGAGCAGCCGACTCTAATCTGGAGAACCGGGTTTGGTTCCCCACTCCTTCATATGCAGCCAGCTGGGTGACCTTGGGTCAGTCACAGCTCTCTCAGCCCCACCTACCTCACAGGGTGTCTTTTGTGAGGAGAGGAAGGGAAGGCGATTGTATGCTGCTCTGAGACTAGGGTTGCCAGGTCCCCTCGCTGCACTGGCAGGGGGATTTGGGATGCATTCTGGGACATCTCCGATGCGATGATGTCACCTGAAAGTTTAGGAAACTGGCTGGGCTGAAGGAAAAGAAATTGAATGGGACGAGGTCCTGAGTGGGAGCGGGAAACCAAAGGGGCTGACAGAATGAAGGAAGGGTTGTGGACTGGAAAAGAAGGAAGGAGGCTTGAGGAAAAAGATGGGCAGAGTAGAAAGCAGTTGAGGGAAGGAGGGACTAATGAAACAGGGGGCTATTAAAGAAAGTCTCACAGAGAGGCAGCCTCCAAGGGGAGCATCAAATTGTTAGCATTTGAAACATCACAACTTCTAAAACATCAGAAACAGCCCTCAGATCCAGGACAAATCCACTACTTGTCAGAGTCTTATCTGAAAAGACTGTCCTTACATTGTCTCTGGAATTGGGCAAAACTGAGGGACTCCTCATCTGTTCTGGCAAACCATTCCAAAGAGCCAGAGTGACTGACTGAGGGCTCCAGTAGGAAGAAACTGTGAGAGGACCTGAAGAGTGGCGCAGTAGTTCATTTTGAGAAGGGCAGGTTCTAGGTCATACAGGGCTTTAAAGGACAATACCAGCACTCTGGTGCTGGACTGTGAAGCAAATGGGTAACCAGTGAAGCTGCTTCACGATGAGAGTAATATGTCCCCACCTCTAGGTTCTGACCAACAGGTGAGCAGCCGTATTCTGTACCGAATGAAACTTCTGAATAATTTTTAATGATGGTCCCACACAGAATCTGTTGCAATAATCCAGCCTTGAAATTGCATGGATCAGCATGGCCAGAGCAGCAAAATCAAGGCGGAGAGCCCCCTTTTTAAATTCCAAGTACAAATGCATTCATTGCTACTCTACTCAGCCTCAGCCCAACACCATCTAGTGTCATGTGCGGGGGGGGGGGGGGGTGAGGGCTCCTCTGTTATAATATCATTCAGAATGAGGGTTTCAAAAATGTCAAGGCACGGTTCCTGGAGGAAAGCAAGGAGCTCTGTGGTTTATCTGGCCTTGAATAGTGCTGGGGATTCAAAAAATGTAAGGAAACAAGATCTTTCCACATTCAATGATTTGCTGAAGCACCTAGAATGTTCGTGTCGGAAGTGTGTCTGTATAGGCCAGGCATTCTCTGTTGGGGCTCTTACCTGGTGGAAGGGCCTGCCTGATGAGGTCAGGAAGGCTCCTCCAACACCTTTATATTTTGTGCAGAAAGTGTAAAATAATTTTTTTTCCAAGAAGGCACTTTTTATAAAGGGGGGTAGGGATTCTAACTGTTTCGTCTTTGGAAATTTTAGGCCGTTCTTTTTCTTCCATTGTTTATGGCGAGCGTTATACTTTTTTTTTTCATTGTCTTTTAATTCTGTGATCCATTTTGAATCTCAGGGGGGAAAGCACACTATAACCGGAAGCACCGATCTCAGCCTAATTTCAAACCGATCTCCATTCTACACAGGCGGAAAACTTTTCAGTCACTTTTTGTACATTAACCCAGAGCAGGAGGAAGGGAAAATCAAGACGTCGACATGAAAACAATTTGTTTTGAGAGAACCTGTTTCAATAGAGCATCAGAAGAGCAATATTGTGGGAAAGATATGGGGGAGATACCAATTGTTTGGGAAAGAAGGGGGTTTCAATTCAGATTACAGTCTTTTCCCTTTACAGAGGTAAATTTTGATGGGAAACATAAAAGCCCTCCTGAGCAATATGAGTCACTCGTGGCCTACAAGAAGGACTCTGAAGAAAAGGTTTGGAGGGAGAATGGCGTTCATTGGGACGTGGATGTGCAGCCTCTCATCTCTTCCACTAAATGGCTTCAGCTTCATGGACTCAAGAGGAACAAGTTGTCCTTCTCTCAGATTTTATCCCAAATTGGATTTCAGCACAGGGAAGGTATGACATGCACCAAATCATTGAGGCTAGTAGAAGCTGGCTTTTGGATGGTCTTCAGCTCCCCCCCCCCGCCAATTCTGTATTGTGCTGCCTCCAGTATTGGGTCTTTAGAATAACTGTGAAGTGAACAACAGACAGAAACGACATAAATCTCCACCGCTAGTTCTGGAGCTCAGCGCTGGGTAATGGTTGAGTCCTCTTGGCTCTTTTGACAACATCATGACTTCTGATTGCGCACAGTCTTGCATAATAAGTGTTCAAAAGTTACTAGCCCAGAAAGAAAGCTCACTGATGTCACAAAAAGAAAAACAAAGCCAACCTTTTTCCAGTTTACGAAAGATTCCCTACTTGGCTGCCTGAAGGCAGTTTTTAAGAAGTGAGTGGTTATTTGCAAACGTGCATGTCTCTTTTCTACAGATCCCATGTCTTTATGATTAGTGTTGTCAGATTTTAGGCTTTGGCCCAGAGGCTCAAGTTTTTGGGTTTATTCTGAACACGACAGGTTCAGATCCTAGAGCCCTCAGCTAATCTACTCATGGGGCACTCAAGGAAGCGATGGTCCACCCTCTCTTGCAAAAACCATCTTTAGACCTGGCCGAATTGGCCAACTACCGGCCGGTCTCCAATTTGCCCTATTTGGGCAAATTGATCGAGAGGGCAGTGGCGATACAGCTGCAGGGTTTTCTGGATGACGCTTCCGTGTTAGACCCCTTCCAGTCCGGCTTCCGCCCGGGACACAGGACGGAGATGGTGCTGGTCGCTCTGACTGACGACCTCCGGAGACATCTGGATAGAGGCGGATTGGTGGTACTGTTGCTGTTAGACCTGTTGGCCGCGTTTGACACGGTCGATCACCAGTTACTTGTCCACCGCCTCGCCAATGTGGGGATTCGGGGGCTCGCCCTGCGATGGCTTGCTTCCTTTCTCCAGGGTCAGGGACAAAGGGTGGTGCTAGGGGAACAGCAGTCCAGGAGGCACCCACTTGAGTGTGGTGTGCTTCAGGGGGCTGTGTTGTCCCTGATGTTATTTAACATCTATATGCGCTCCCTTGCCCAGATTGCCTGGAGGTATGGGCTGGAATGTCACCAGTATGCTGATGACACCCAGCTCTATCTGATGTTGGCGGCCAGTTGGACTCCAGACCAGAAGATCTGGACCCGGGCTTTGCAGGCTGTGGCTGGTTGGCTTACACTGAGTCAGCTGAAGCTGAATCCAGCAAAGACGGAGGTCCTGTGCCTAAATCGGGGTGATTTGGGGGCTGGGATCCCACTCCTGACCTTCGGGGGGGCTTCACTGGTCCCAGCGCCGGAGGTTTGGAGTTTGGGAGTGCTCCTGGATCCCTTCCTTACCGTGGAGACCCAGGTAGTGGCCTCTGCTGATTAGGCAGCTGGTTCCCTTCCTCGACCGTCCTGACTTGGCTACAGTGATCCATGCGATGGTCACCTCGACACTAGACTACTGTAATGCTCTCTACACGGATTTGGAAGCTACAGCTAGTGCAGAACGCTGCGGCCAGGCTGTTGATATAGATGGGAGCACATCCAGCCTGTGCTGAGGACACTGCACTGGCTGCCAATAGCATACCGAATCCGCTTCAAGGTGCTGGTTCTTACCGTTAAAGCCCTATATGGTCGGGGTCCAACATACCTGCGGGTCTGCCTTTCCCCGTATATACCCCATATAAGTATGTGATGGTATCACTCTCATTTTTCTTAAGTTAACAAAGGCTTGCAAAAGCTTTTGTTTCTGGGTAATATCAAACAGTAGTTATGCTTGATAAGGCCAATCTATTGCCTCAAAAGCAAGCTCTCTTATCTCTTGCCTTGACCTCTGCAGATTTAATCAGCAGTAAACCCTGTGGGTTTCAGTGGCATCCAGGCCCGTAGTTACGGTGGGGCATTTTGGGGCTCTGCCGCCTCAAACATGAGGCACACCCAATAACAACTGCTGCCCCTCCCCCTCCCCTCCTGTGACATTAAAAAGGCCCTCCAGCTTATCAGCGGGAGTATGTGGCCCGTCGATCAGCTGGAGGGCCCTTTAAATCTTGCAGCCGCTCCTCTCCCTCTCTTCCTCCTACAGAGCTATGAGGAGATGAAATGTTTGTAGGCAATTCCTTGAAGAAAATAGCAGGTGTGCAGGAAGAGGTGGCAATTCTGGTTAGTTCCGTTTTCATTTCCTGGGGTTTGCCTATATTTACTGAGCCAGCACTGTGCTAAAGTTACTTCATCCAACCTCCTGGGTCATGTCTCGTGCAGATATTGATGTGGCTTGAAAATGCTTTATTTTGGGCTGGGGAGTGTCCACTGTTTTCCTGGAGTTGTGTGGCCACCCTTCTCCCTTTCAGGTTCAGGGAAGGCATGCAGCTGGCAACTGCCCCTCTCCCTCACCTCCTGCAAGGGAGAGGGGCAGCTGCACGCCTTCCCTGTTCTCCAAGTGGCGATTTTGCCGCTTGGGGATCAGGCGCGGGCAGCCCCCATTAAAAACAACATTTACAGGGGCTGTTTTTCTAGCAGGGGCTGCCTGCACCTGATCTCCAAGTGGTGAAATTGCAGCTCGGAGCTCAGGGAAAGTGTGTGGCAACCCCTCTCCCTCCCCTCACCCTCCCCTGCTGCCCCACAAAATTTCCCCATGCCCCACTAACCCAGAATTTCTGGTTATGGGGCTGGTGGCATGCCCTCAGGATTGCAGGTTTTATATCAACTTCTGCATACAGATGCAATGACTGGGCTGCAAGAAGAATGCAGGGTAATGAAAACAGCACAAGAAAACTACCTTTGTTTATATACCTTTGTCTTATATTCTAGATTATGTGTCAATTTTGGGGAAACTTGTGGCTTCTCGATATTCAAACAGGTTGTATCCTCAGTACACAAAAGCAGAAGATGGAAAACGGTATAATGTAAGTGTGATGGATTCGTCGTTGGGTGGAGTAATAAAGTTTCTCACTTTCTAAAAAACAAGCCACGTTGACAGCATGAGATGGCTAGAATACAGTACTGCCCGCCATGTTCCTATAATGAGGAAATGGCTGTGCGTGTTCTGTAAATTGGGATTGCCACTTGAATAATTCTGACTGACAAGTTGACAATTGACTTGGAATATCCACCTCCTAAATTGTCAAAGGAAGCAACCGGAAAAAGTTTGAGGGAAGGGATGGGGGGGGGACGGACGGTGATTCAGATAGCTGAGAGGTCATATGAAATAGTTCAGTTTTGATTTGGCACTTAAACCATCCAACAAAGAGTTACTGACTCAGACTGTTTTTAAACAAAGAGTTTCCCCCTCTTTTGATTAATCCATTAAAAGCTATGGAAATGAAATTGTGGCCCAGAAACTGGTTTCCTCTTGGCATTTTCACAAGGGCATTCCTTGGTCACTTCTGGTGATTGTGTAGTGGGAGCAATAGTAGATGCTTGTGAATCATAGCACCAGACTTTTGCAGAGCTAATGCATGAATGCTATTTTGAAACTTATTAACAAACACTCCCTGTATAATATAAGGGTACAGACCAACCCAATGGGAGCTATGCCACGTCTTGATGAGGAGAATGTGCCTCCATCTTTAGATGCTGTGAAGAAACCAAGAAATAGGCAGCTGCTACATCTCTTACCTCAGCGCTCACCATTTTGGAATCTATACTGTCTGTCTGTCTTTATTTACCTATAGCTAACAGCCAGCAAAGACCTCCTCATTCATTTCGTGGACTGTCTTACCGTAGCCATTGAACTGTACAAACAGAGAATGGAATGGCTGACTACTGAAAGCCGGCAAATATTTGGAGTGATCCAGGAACAGTCCATTGCTGTGGTTCTGGATTTTGGTGTTTCTTCTCGAGCAGAATTTAATCTGTCTTGTGAGGCCCTTCGTATGGTCCTGACGCAGCAAATCACCCAAAAAGCCAAATTTAATCTCATTCGGTAAGTCAGAGGAACGCCGTTTATATCCTATGCTTTGCTAATGCGATCTTTTGGATTTCTAAAAATTAAAATGGTGTGATACGAAGGGTATAGCCAACTGATTCAGCTTCCAAAGCTATGTTGGAAGGGCATCAAAAGTCTAAGTGAACATAATTGCACTTGGTCTTCAGTGCTGTTTCTGAAGCAGTGCTTATTATCTTTTGGTGGGATAATTACCTGCTAATTCGGATCTTCAGAAAATGCTGCCAGTCTTCTTTATGTGGCAAAGATTTGCTTGTAAGTGATATATTGTTTTCTCCAAAGTTTTACTTGGCATTTTAATTTTCAGAAGTCCGTGTCCGGTACTGGACAGTTAAATAGGTCCCTATCATTAGCTTTAAAAAAAATCAGATTAGATTTTTAAAAATCTAATAGGATAGAAGATGACCAAGAATTCTGACACAGGTGCCTTGTATTGAGTCAGACCATTGGTCTAACAAGACCAGTATCATCTACTCTGACGGGCAGCAGCAGTCCAGAGTCTCAAGTGGAGGTCTTTTACATCACCTACTTTTAACCAGGGATAGTGAGGATTGAACCCAGGACCTTCTGTATGAAAGGAAGTGCTCTACCACTGAGGCATGACCCCAACCCTTCCCTTCTAATGCAACTGAAGTTCAGAATGGTTATGGAGTAGGACACTTAGAACAAGAGCTGAGAAGAAACTTCCCTTGTTCTTTCTCTGCCTCAGGCAGCAGAAACATAGAATGCCTGCTGTTTGTTTACAGAACCTGGCCCTGCACAAAATGAAGACTTTTTCTTTGAGTTAAGGGGAAAAGCTTCTGGGTATAGAGGAGCTGGAAGAAAGGCAGCATGGTATAGCCCGATCCCATCAGTTCTTGGAAGCTAAGCTGGGTCAGTACTTGGATGGGAGACCACCACGGAAACCTCTGCAGAGTGTCAGCGAGCTGCCATTGAGAGTTCTGGTTCCCTGAGTGTGTTCCCTTCCCCCTTTGCCTTTTCTGTTGTATTCTTCACATTCTTGTTTTTGTAGGTGTCTGTAACAGCTCAAGGTTACCCAGCTGGAGTGGGAAGACGAAGCCCTGTTATCTGCTCGCTTGTTAGTGGTATTTTTTGCCTGTGAACCAAGGGCCTGTTTTGAGAAAGGCAAACTGTTACATTCCCATGCAATTACCTGTCAGTGCCTTCCTTATTCGCGCCGGCGGGAAAGGGATCTATTGGTTATAGTTTGGTTCAAAGTTCCTTTATTATGTTACCCTCTGGGGTCTGTGTCCATTCCTAACAATTCTACTGTTCCTGTTTCTTTCAAATGCTTTGGAATAAATTTTGCTTTAACCTTTAAACGTGGATTTATTTTGGAGACTTTGGAGATTCAACATTTTATTAGGAATCCCTTTTCCTCATCGCCCCGAGTCTGATTGCAATCATGAGCGGGACAGAGGGGAATGTACCTACAACGGTACCTACAACAGTACCTACAACAGAGGGGGACTTATTCGGCGTCCCGGTCACCTCTGCGGCCCCACTGGTCACCACGGCGCCCGTCTCGGTGCCTGCAACGGGAGCAGTGGGGGGAACGGTACCTCGCCCGAGCTACTTACAGTGGACGCCTCCGACCCCGAGTCAATGGGGTCGGAAACCGGTGCTGGCCTACGAGGACTGGACGATGTTTGACACCAAAGGCACGAAAGAGACTTACTCCTACCAAGGGAGCGGCCTCCGGGACAGCCTGGGTGAGCGAGAGCAGAGGCGCGGAAGGTACCGAGGGGAGGAAGATGACTTTTGGCCGGACGATCCTGGGAGAGGATCGGGGCCCGGACTCAGTGAGACCCACAGAGGCCCCACAGAGACCACAGAGACCCCAGTGAGGATCGCCTGGAAGAAATCGAACGGTCGTTGCAGCAAGTCATGCGCACAGTGGCTGATGTGTTTGATGCCTTGCCGACAATGATGGACCATCGCCTCGCGAATCTGATGGCGGCACAAGCGTTGCAGCAACTGCCACCCCCCTCCCTCCTCCAGGACAACCGGTACCGCAACAGCCTCCTCCGGGACAGCAACCGATACCGGGCCAGCAGCCGATTCCAGGACAGCAACCTCCAAAGTTTTTTTGGGGTGGAGCCTAGTTAGAAAGTGGGGCATTCAGATGCAAATTGTTCTATTCATATCCAGTATGATGCCTAACCTGGCAAGCTGTTGTCAGAAAGGTTCAAAATGAACCTTTTAAAAGTGATAATGGATGGATAAAATGTAAGATGACACCTCCACAAAATTTAGTTCAATAAAGACATGGCCTTTGAGCGTAATTTACTTACACAACTCATATCTTGCCTTTCTACCACATCTGGGCTACCAAGGTTGCTTTACATGGATCGGTCTTCATGGCCGGAGAGCTGGAGCTCTCTGAGCAAAAAATAATAATAATTCATTTTGACTCATGGTAGGGATCAGCAGATGGAAGCCCCCTGTGCCAAATGTAGCCCCTTGAGGAATCTTTCCTAGCCTTGAGTTGGATAGGAGGAAAAGAGGGGTGAGGAGGTCATTGCGCAGGTTTAGGTTTTGGGGGGAGCGGGAACAGTGATGGTGGTTAAGGCCTTGGCTCCCCACCCTGATTCCATTCTCTGTGGCCATCCAAGACATCTGTGGGCCCATCCTGTTGCGACAGTTCTCCAGTCCTTAGCACAAAGTTCTTTGATCTGTGGTAAGTGTTAAAACCCTCTCACAGACAGCTGCTAGGCAGGGCGAAGGAGCAGGACGGTGTCATTGAATGCTGATCAAAGTGGTTTGTCTCAGAAAGGCTGCGGACATTTTTCTGGGCATTTGGTACCCAGATCGCATGTCTGTCTAGACACTGTATAAGGCCTCCCCTCGATCTGAGGAATTCCCAGGTACAGCCTAGTAGGTGGCAAGTCATACATAGTTTCCTCCTATCAGTTCCCAAGTGCTGCATTGCAAGCCAGTGTAGCATTTCCCCTGAATATTTAAGTTCCTATCTGTTTCAGGGCTACTGAAGATCTTGTGAAATGGCAGGAGAAAGCTGTTCCTGTGACCGAGTGTTCTCTTAAGGCTGCCGTCGAGTGGCTCTTTGCGTTGGACCACCTGCCAGCTGTTTGCCACTCAGGCCCCATTGAAGCTGTCTTGGAGGCAGCGTGTGACGATACGGTAATCTTCTGCATATTTCCAGAAGTCTTCAATTAAGTCTAAGAATACCCCGTGAGAACTGGATGGCCAGTTTTATGGTGATGAATTATGAAGGGGGCTAAATGAAATACCAGTGGGCTATTTAGAAGGAATTCCTTTCAAGTTGATATGCAGACGGGTACTTACCAAGATCGTATGTACATAACAATATCACATTCAGAAAGATGAAGCTTTGCATTTGACTTCCCACGAAGCAGTTCGGGCGGGGGAGTGTTTCCGTGACATTAAGAAATGTTAAAAAATATTATGCCTGATAACATCAAGCGTACCTCTTCAGACTGCTCGTGTTAATATTGTTCTGGAAAGGAGCCTTTTGCTGTGCCCGATGATGTATCCAAGAAACATGCAAGTGAAAATTTTAATGGTAACTGATAAGGAAACATGCCTCTTTTGCAGAATTTCTTTTTAATGGAACAATGTAGTATTCCAAATGCCTCTGTTCCATTTAGGAAAAAAAGACAAGGTAATTTGGAATTCTGAAATCTCAGGAGAAATTTGGATGAAAAGGATCTGGGAAGTGACTTTAGCTACAAGTAATAAGTGACCAATTATAATGTCAATTTACATTGCATATGGCCGGAATTTGTTCTGGTTGAAAGATATTTGAAGCTAGCAGTTTTTAGCCTATATATGGCAGTCTTTCAGTTCACTCTCTTCCCTGAACCACATCAAGCCTGCCCTGTTCTCCTCCACTATGCCACAGGAAAGGGGATGAGTCAGTTCATGAAAGCTCAGCGGTATTATTAACACGGGGAATCTTGTGCTGTAGAACATATTTTATTCTACTTCATGTTAGATACTCACATGCCAAACTGAGATTCACTCCACAAATTTACACTTATGGTGAAACTGGATAGCACTGATAACCAGTTTTAGCCTCTGTGTTGAAACTGATTTGAGTTTTTGTGTCCACAGTCTGAGACCAAAAATGCCCCTTTAGAAACTTTGCCTTAGTTTTAGCATATGAATAGTAGTGTCTAGGTTTTTTTCCCTCACAATGACCTGTCTGTCACAGATAGAAGCTGTGTACTATTTTGTTGTGGGTGATTTGCCTGAACGCATGAAGCACTTGTTCCTGCAGAAGACCTTAAGGAGCCCACGTCCAATCCATACAGTGTCTTTTAATGCCAGGGAAGAAGAAACAATTACTTTCTTAAAGGAGCTGAGTCATCAGACCAGTGGCAGGTATGAGGTAAATGTAATATTTAATGTTTCTCAGTTCTGTACATTTTGTGAGCAGATGTATGAATCCTTGCAAATGCTCTGTGTCTCTTTTTGTTCAGTCTGTCTGCACAGATGGCATACTATTTTATTTTATTTATTTTATTTTTCGTATTTATAGTCCACCCATCCTGCAGGCAGGGAATGGCCAGGTAGTCTTCTTTTGAGGTGGTGGCTGTATATAGGACCTTATGTTGGTGGTAAAAGGTTCCCTTGCTCGAAAGCCAGTCGAATCCGACTCTAGGGTTGCGGTGCTCATCTCCGTTTCAAAGCCGAAGAGCCAGCGCCGTCCGAAGACGTTTCCGTGGTCATGTGGCCAGCATGACTAAACACCAAGGTGCACGGAACGCTGTTACCTTCCCACCGAAGTGGCACCTATTTATCTACTTGCAATTTCTTGCTTTCGAACTGCTAGGTTGGCAGTTGGTGGGGTTACAACCAAAAGATAACAGATAAATGATAGCTCCTGGAATAATTATTATGCCACAATGTTGTGTTTGGGTATCTGTGAATTTTAGTCCAGGTTATATAGTTTAATGGTTTACACAGATTAATGGCTTGTTTCTTCTTCTCAGTGATGTCTGGGAACTGTAGTTCAGGGGTAGGGAATGCTAGACAGTCTCCCAATACAGAATTCTTACACCTCATTGAACTATACTTTCCAGGATTGTGTGGGGGGAAGCAATGACAATTTAGTTAGTAATAAGTTAGTATGAGGGTGATTTGCAGTGCAGGTGAGCCAATTGTGGTCTGTAGACATGATCAGAGGCTCATGGCTGCTAAATCTTGATTTGTCTAGACAGCTCAGTTTTGGCATCTGTGTTTTAAGAATATGCTGAAACAAAAATGTTTGAGTTGCAGAGAAAGGCATGGAATATGGTTAAAGCGTATAACATAACAATGGTGCTTGTGTCAGATCATCAGCTGAAGTTACCAGATTCATGCTCAAAAATTTTATGTTTCAGGTTTCATGCATTTGCTGAAAGAACTGATTGTGTAGCTATGACAGAAACACCAGTAGGTTGGACAGAGGATGATACAAGCTTGCCTGCCCAGAATTCGAGGAAACTGAAAGGGAAGCTTCCTTTAGGTAAGACAAAAACAAAATCCAACACCCCCCCTCCACAGCATTGGCTGGCTGTACCAATCAGTGGCAAAATAATCAGCTACAAGATAGAATTGTAGAGTTGGAAGGGACCTCCATGGTCATCTAGTCCAACCCCCTGCACAATGCAGGAAATTCACAAATACCTCCCCCTCCATTCCCCCAGTGACCGCTGTTCCACACCCAGATATGACTGGATCCAGTGAAAGTGTCTACTGACAGAAGGGATTGCTGTCAACCTAGCAACCTCTCCTCCCCCTGCCACTGCAGTCTGAATCGGGTCCCTCAGGTGCTGGTGTTGGGGGAGCCCACAGAACAGCATGAGGGGCAGATAGGGGTCTGCTGCGGGAGCAATGAAATCAGTGAAAATTATGCTCTTTCTATTAGTGGAAATTTACCACTGGATCGACCTCCATGGGCAGTCCATGGAGGTGGATAAATTTGGCCCCATAGGGAAAAGCAACGTTGTTACATATACATATGTGCTCAATAAGATTTTGGGATGGAGATTCATTTGTTCTCATTCTGGATGGCTGCCTCTAGCTAGCCGCCTATAAATGGAGCCTTGATCTAGAAGAGGGAGCTACAGGTAGTGTCATAAACTGTTATGCCTTAATTGCATCTGGCAGCAATGCAGAGCTAGAAAAGGTCCAGCTAGTTTTTTTACTTAAGGAAAGTTGTGTGTCCGTCTTTAATATTATGCCCCTTCGTATACTATGAATAGAAGAAGAAAATGTTCTGATCTTTTTAAAATAATTGTGGAAGTGGGTGACTCAGGAGCAATGTTCCCTCTAAGCTGTGGAGTCTTGTAAGCAAAAATTCTACTTTGTGAGCTACTAGCATTAAAGTTGTGAGGGAGCAATTTGGCTACTGCATAACCTAGTTTGCTCTGGAGCCATCCTTCCTGAGCTGAGACAAAAATGTGTGAGCTGGAGGTTAAAAAAATGTGAGCTAGCTCACACTAACTCAGCTTAGAGGGAACACTGCTCAGGAGGTATACTGAAATAGTTCTGGCAATGAGCAGTCCTTGTATTTATCTTCCACACTCAGGGCAAACAATAGTACATTTTTAAACAAAAGGTTAAAACAAATCTAAGCTAAAGTGATTTAAAATGGCCAACTGTTTGCCACAACCTATCCAACCGAAGTGAAGTGAAAGTTTCCTTGCAGTCTGGCCTTATCAGAAAAGTACATGAAACAGTCGTGGTCGGCTTTCCAGAAGGAACATACACTATCTTGTCTCCATAGTCTTCTTTACCTCTGTGTGTGTGTGTGTGTGTGTGTGTGTCTCAAAAACAGCTCTTGTCCAGAGGTGAGGGGACCATTTTGATTTCTGGGTACAAAATGCCTGAGTCTGGCACTAGCAATATGGACAATTTCCCCTCCCCTAAAAACAGTGTGCCATACTGTTGGAGCAGTCCTTAAACACTCCCCGCTATGGGCCTTGCAGCTTAAACTTGTTGCATGACGAGTATTTGGGAAGGTGTTGCTTCTTGGTCTTGTGGATTGCAGTGGAATATGGACAAAGAGCAAATCCCCAAAGCATGTCAGCACTTGTGTGTGCAAATGCACCGTAAATGCAGTGCAGATCCAGAATCAAAATGAATAAGTTAAGCAGAATTGCCAAAAAAAACACCCCCAACCCCCTTGATTTTCCCTTTTGTGGAAGTACTGCCTTTTCTTTCTTCGAAGTTCTTTCACTTAGTACTGTGAAATTTCTAGAAGGGACAACTTTCTAATCCCCTCTATTTAATTTGATTCAGTGGCAGTGTAATGATTACTTACAGAGAACAGAGCCTCTCTGCTGGGTTCCATTGTGAGCGGGAAGGCTGCCTTCCCCTCTCTCTAGCCATCCAGTTCATATTTCAATAGCTGGACTACGAGCTGTGGCTGCTGCTGCTCTGGAAATTATGTCCATGCCCCTTTTCTCAATGACTGACTCACTGAGTGGTTTTAATCACCCCAGAAGTGCAGTAATCTCCTTGAAATGCTTTGTGTGCTGTGTCGTGCTTTTTATAGGACAGAATTTACACATTGAAAGGGAACACAATGAGTCTTGTGCATTTTATCTCGCATTATAGCAGTGGTTATGACATCATCCCCAGCCAATTGGAAACTTCCAGGAACGACTTGTGGGTGTATTGGGGGGGAAGGTATCGCAAGCACCTTTTACAGCAGCAGAGGCATGGGAGTGATTGTTTTTGCCTTGCTCATTTTGAGACTATTTACAGTGTATTTCCTGAAAGGTTGTTCTGAGAAATAATAATGCAGGAAAACTGCTGGAAAGCGATTTCTATGCTGTGTATTGATTGAACAACACAAGTTTAGTGTGCAAATTAAGGATAGAGAGGCATTTTGACTCTTCTGCCCCTAAAATTTAAATTGGTGGTGAGGACCCAGTGGAGGAAGCGGCAGATCTAGGGCTGTGGGTGGAATTGAGGCTGTAAACTGTCAGATCTGAAAGTCCTCTGGATCTAGTCCAGCTTCATCCAGGTTCACTGAGGATTTAGATAAAGCCTTTGGATTGTATTGCCAATATATATAAAAAATTGCCAATAGGAAGAGGAATGAAATGAAGGAATGGTAAAAGGAAAGGCTTATAGTGTACTGTAGCATTAACAGAGGAGGGGGCACAGGGGGGCTTGTAGAGGTCTGGGCAATATTATGAAAGCGGCTGCCTCCCAGCAGGGAGGTCAGGGGGAAAGTAGTCCACAGAAAATGCTCTGTCTAACCCAGTCCAGACTTCAGCTTCAAAGAAGGAGAAGAGATGCCTGAAAAAAACGAAGTGATCCAAGAATCAAACAGTCTGCTTATATAAATGCTAGATAGATCTGTCTCATGCACATGCAATAGAATAAAATGCAAGAAACAGTTACACACTCTGACACATGCACATTAACAAGAAAGCCAGAACCATTCTCTTCTCATGCATAGACACATGCATACCTGGCAGCGCATATAAAGATAACATAAATGTTCTGGTTCTTGGTATGTGGTACAGAGCAAGGCAAGGCAATATTACTGGAAGCTGCCTTGAACCATGAGGAAAGGTGGGATATAAATGTTTTACAAAATAAACAGAAGAACCAAAATATCTTCACTCTTTTCTACAATACATTTTTAAATGGGTAAATTGGTAAGTTGTGGTGATTTGGTGGCTGGTGTGGGTGAGAGAAAAAAAACCCTGTGTGTTGATGCTGGGAATTGACCACCTAAAGAAATCTTTTTCCAAGTTAGTTTTGTCTTAAACTAGATGTGAAATTTTTAATGGGTACTTGCATTCTATGCAGGAGCTGTGTGGGGTAGGGCTGCCAGCTCTGGGCAGGGAAATACCTGGAGATTTTGGGAGTAGAGCCTGGGCAGGACAGGGTTTGGAGAGGGGAGGGACCTCTGCCCTCCAAAGCAGCCATTTTCTCCAGAGGAACTGATCTTGGTCACCTGGAGATAAATTGTAATAGTGGGAGATCTCCAGGTGGTGCCACCTGGAGTCCCAAGCAGAATTGGGCCCCTGTCACTCTTTGAAAAGCAATTCTCTTCGGCTCTTATGGGACTGCAGGAATGTGAGTCCAGTCCAGGTTAAAAGTTGTAACTTTTAGTGTGAACCTGAGAGTGTAAATGATGTTTTGTAACAGTTGGTTTGAATAGACTAGATGACCCTGGAGGTCCCTTCCCACTCTGTGATTCTAAGATTCTATGAATCCAATGCACCCATGTGAAGGCCCAGTTGAGGGAAGGGGTTAAATCTTTCCTTCCTTGCCATTTTCCTAATTCAAATTACCTCATATCATATGTTGTTGGCCTCAGTGGGGGTAAAAGACAGGCTTTCTCCTTTGTAAATAAAGTGGGAGGTTAGTATTTATGTGCCTACTTTAAAATAAAAATGTAACATGTAGATACCGTAGCTAACTCTTCTCCCTTGTCAAGTCCCTTACCCCACAGAGCTCCATTTATTTCAGTGTTTTTCTCTCAGCTTAGCTCCTGGTATTTGAGTCTGGGTAGAAGATAAATACTTTGAGTATAAGAGGGGAGAAAAGTAAGGCACAAGAGGGAGAAAGATTTTACTCATTTTATATTTCCGCCCCAAGTAGACTCCTAACTTGCTTTAAATGTGAATGGGGTGGCCTCATACAAGAGGCTATATATAATCTGTGCCCACTTGAATTGCTGAATACTTCCCTGTGCCAAGTGAGAATTTTAATTGCCTATAAAATGAGGAAGCATTACTTTCTGCCAGGATTTTGGCAGGAGGCTCCTCTGGGAATACACTCCCTGAGAATTTAATCTCAGTTGGATGGGGTGAAAAGTACAGCTGAAAATGTGTTTCCTGTTGAAATCCATGGAAATGACTATAACAAAGGGGAAAATAGATGTGCCATAATGAGAACATTACTTCATATTTTACTAAGACTTAAATGAACAGAGAATGATGATAAAATACTCTTTGAGTGTTTCTCTAGTTTTACTACATGAAGCCTATGTAGCAAAACTCAAGTCTGGTACTGCATGCTTTGTTTTTTTGGCCACACTGCTATGCTGTCTATTGAATCAGCAAGAAAGAGGTTAAACATCTCATTTTGCACACACAATTAATTCCAAGCAATTGCTTCCTTTGTTTATTGCTGAGTTGCAGATGCCTGAAGGAAATTAGATAATAACTCTTTCTCTTTGGGTAGATTGAATGTCTAGTTCAAACACACCTTTGTGCTTGTGGCAGCTGTGGCTTTCAGGTATCTTGTACTGCCTTCTAGCTGGGCACCATAGGCAGAACCAGCTATGCCTCACTCTTTGTGGCCAGTCACCAGTGTTTCCTCTAAGCTGAGTTAGTGTGAGCTAGCTCACAGTTTTTTAACCTCTGGCTCAGACATTTTTGTCTTAGCTCAGGAAGGAGGGCTCCAGAGCAAACTAGTTTATGTAGTAGCCAAATCGCTCGCTCACAACTTTAATGCCAGTAGCTCACAAAGTAGAATTTTTGCTCATGAGACTCC